AAAACAACAAAAACGTCAAAAAAGCAACATATTTCCAAAATAAAAATAAAAAATTTAAAGATGACATTTCTGCCAATCCCTCTAAAAATAGTATTTCCTGGTTCTTATGTAAAGGTGGCAAAGAGCGTACATCTGGCCAAAAATCATAAAAAAGTCAAAAGTCAGGAATATTATCATAAATAATTATTGGAAAAAAAACAAACAAATTCCAGCGATTTTTCCGAAAGTTCATCGCGTGACGAATCAAAATTAGCGACATTCATTACAAATTACCGAATATGGGCTTGGAACAGCGACGAAGATTTGGAGAGTGGGGGGGGATAGGGTGGGTTAGGGGTAGGGGGGAGTAATAAGTCGCTAGAAAAAAAAATGACTTGGCTTAGGCCAACTAAACAAAAACTGCACCTAAAAGTATTAACTTTACCCTACCCTAGCCCCAGCCCAGCGCCTTAGATCAAAGCCCTCGCCCAGAGCCCTAGCCCAGAGCCCTAGCTCAGAGCCCTAGCCCAGAGCCCTAGCCCAGAGCCCTAGCCCAGAGCCCTAGCCCAGAGCCCTAGCCCAGAGCCCTAGCCCGGAGCCCACCTACAACCCTATCTAATATCCCTAATCTTAGCCCATGCTCTTCCCTAGCCTAGCTCTACTGCAGCCTATATCTACCCTATCCCTACCCTAATTCTATCTTAGCCGAGCCCTAGCCCTAGTCAAGCCCTGCTATAGTCCTACCATACCCAACCTTTTTATTATTATATTATTACCCTACCTTACTCTACCTATATTACTCTACCCTATATTATCCTACTCAGCCAAGTTTACAGTGAAAGTTAAATTTAGCGCTAAAGACAACTTTAGATTTACCCCTCCAATTGGCAACATAATAATCAAAATTTTAACAAAAAACCAAATGATTAGTCAATTTGGTCGCTTCGCGGTCATGTCAAACACAACATGGGCTGACAAATTCGTTAAAAGTGTATTTTAAGCACTAATCAGCATAGCATCTCTTGAGTGCCAATCAATCGTAATTTCCGCAAGTCCTGTCACCAAAACTTTTCGCGATGTTACTAAGGTTTTCAAAGTGAAAAAAAAAACGTTTAGGGGTTCAGAAATGACGAAATGACATTGTTAGTCTGGACAGTTTTGAAAAGTCATTTATAAGCCTAAAACGCATTTTTAAATCTAAAATTTATTTGAGAGCTTAAAATTCATTTTTAAGCCTAAAATTCATTCTTTAAGCCTACAATTTGTTTGAGAGCTTTAAATTCATTTAAGCCAAAAATTCATTTTTTAAGCCTAAAATTTTCTTTTTAAGCCCAAAATTCATCAAACTTAAACAAAACTTTTTTGTAACTTAAGATGCATTTTCTAGACTACACAATAAAAAACTACAACTTGTTTGCCAATCATTCATTAGCCAATCACATTATCATTACTTCCAAACAGATACCATTAAGTAAAGTATCAGTGTCATAAATTTTGGCAAAACAACAAATTTAATTTATTTGTTTTGAGAAACAAAACGTAAAAAACAAGGACAAAGCCGTTAATTTGCTTTTTTGGCTGATTTTATGGCAAAATTTAGTAGGTATATCATTTAGACTAAAATTTTAAGCCAAAAATTCTGTTTTAAGCCTAAAATGCAGCTTTATGCCTAAATGCAGTTTAAGCCGGAAATTCAGTTTTTAAGCCTAGAATTCATGTTTAAGCCAGTAATTTATTGTTCGGCCTGAAATCCATTATGTAGTCTACAATTCAGTATTTAAAAGCCTAAAAGTCATTTTTAAACCTAAAATGGAATTTTTAATGCTAAGATTCATTGGGACGCCTAACATGCGGCTTTCAAGCCTAAAATGAGGTTCGCAAGCCTAAAATTTATTCTTTATGTTTAAATTTAATTTGTTAAACCTAAACTTTAGCTTTTTAACTTAAAATTCATTTTAAGCCTAAAATTTATTTTTCAGCCTAAAACACATTTTAAAGCATAAAACACATTTTAAAGCCAAAAATTCATTTTTAAAGTAAACATTCATTTTTCATTTAATTTTTAACCTAAATTTGAGTCAATTTTGAGTACCAAAAATTCCTTGCCAACCCTAATGCAAGCGCAAAAACCCACAAACCACCCGGAAAGCAAATGTGACTAAAAGAAACGTAAAATTTATGACATGTAGTGTAAAAACCATAAAGTAACAAATGAAAAAACAACACGATAGTAATGTAAAATTTTCACATTACTTTATGTAACTGCCAATTTGTTAAACGGATAACATTAAGTAACTGCATATTACAAAAACAAATAGAAAACAAGATAAACAGAAGGTAGTTAAAATTCATTTTTAAGCCTACAACTTAATTGCTTAACCTTAAATTTAATTTTTAAACCTAAAACTTTAAGCTTAAAGTTCACTTTTAAGCCTAAAACTTATCTTTTAGCCTAAAATTTATTTCTAAACAACAAAATAATTTTCAAACCTAATGTGGTAAGCCTGAAAATACGTATTTAAGTCCAAAAAAAATCAAATTCAGCAAAATCTAAACATGGCTAAAACCCTCATTCCCAAAATTAAGAATATCACTTCTTGGGCTAACCCAATCTTTCCTCCCATTTTGCCCTTTTTATGTTTTGTGTACTTTATAAAGGGATGGGCTCATTTTCTAATTGTTTGTTTATTCTAAACAAATTTTGACTTTACTTGAATTTATTTTGCACTTTTTCAATTATGAGAAGTTTTATTTATAACCATAAAAATTAGTAAAATTGCATTTTAGGCTTCACAATAAAACTTTAGGTTTAAAAATAAAATTTTAAGATTAAAAATAGAACTTCAGGCTTTGAAATTTTATTTTAGGCTTAACAATGAATTTTAGGCCTAAAAAAATTTTAGACTTAAAAGGATAATTCAGACTTAAACAATTACTCATTTTGTACTTTGGCAACTAATTTTTAGGTTTTAAAACTTCCATTTTTAAGCTAAACCAAAATTTTTCAAAGTACAATCAATGTTTTGTCGGACCGGTCCGAATCGCCGGACCGGTGAACAACGCTCCGGACCGGTCCGGGCAAAACACTGAGTATAATGTAGGGTCAAAAACAAAAAAAACTAAACCTAAAAAACATCACCTAGGCTTAAAAAGAAACGCAAACTCAGCACCTACAACAACATTGCCCTTTAGCTCAGTCCATAACAATAAATTTCCGTCGAACTCAAAATTAACTCGGAAAGAACAATAATTTTCGGCCTTTGGAAAACTTGTTTGATCCTTTTCGACAATGTCTTTTCCGCTTTTAATGCCCAAATGTCCACATAAAACCCTCGAATTGTTTGATTGACGTAATCATCTTTTCGCCTCAGGCCCTAATTTTTTCGAACTTTGAAAAAGGTTTTACGATCACAGGCAATATGGTTAATAAAGGCAGTATAACTACCTAGTATCAGTATATATCTACATAGTATTAGGAATTGCGTAGTAAAACTGATAGTTTTAGATAATTTAATGATAACGAATTTTGAGTGATCAGCATGGAATTAAAGTTTAAGCTAGACCTGTAAAAAAATCAGGCCGGGCCAAATCAAGTTCAGCTCGACTCGGCCTAATGGGCGTTCTTTCAGGTCTAGCTTAGGCTTAAAGACGGATTTTGAGGTATATCACTAAATTCTAAGCTTAAAACAACAATTTGTTAAAAAAATTAAGCTTGAGCTTAAAAATGAAGTTTAGGCTTAAAAAGTTTAGGTTTAAAGTAAAGTTTGGGCTTTAAATGAATTTTAGGCTTATAAGTGAAGTTTGGGTTTAAAATGAAGTTTAGGCTAAAAATAAATTTTAGGCTTAAAATGAATTTTGGGCTTTAAATGAATTTTAGGCTTATAACTGATATGTAGGTTTAATAATGAATATCAAAGCAAATTTTCAACATTTCTGATGATAAAACGTTGTAACTTATCATTTTTTGCAAAAACGTGTTACCTATGCATACAACAAGGTCGTGACAATCTCAAACTTATACAGTTGAAATAATAAAAATATTGGAATGTTTGCACAAATGGACTTCATGTTCGAATTTAATCCAAGGTTAACACAGTTCACAAATCAAAGCTTGACATACGTTATACAGTGAAGCTCCTGTATAAAGAATAGCTCGGGAATTTTAAATTTTTTGGTCATATAGAGTTTTTGTGACACAATTATGAACAGTACTGTAGTGGAGTTCTTTATTGAGGAGCTCCAGTGTATAATGTATGTGGGAGTCATAAAAACGTAGTAGGAGGAGCGGTTTTAGGCTTAAAATCTTAGATTTATGAGTTAAATTCATTTTAAAATAAATATTGGACCTAAAGCAATTTTTTAGGCTTAAACACTAATTTTAGGCTTGAAAATGAATTTTTAAGGCAAAAAAACCAATTTTAAATCAAGAAAATTATTTTTAGGGTCTAAGTGGCTTTTAGGCTTATAAATAAATTTTGGCTTAAAAATGAATTTTAGGGTTAAAAATAAATTTTATGATTAAAAAAATAAATTTTAGGCTTAAAAATAAATTTTAGGATTAAAAATGAAGTTAAGGTTTAAAACGTGTATTTTAAGCCTAAAACTTAAGCATAAAACTTTAAAAAAGACTAGGCTTTATCATTCAATTTCCGCGAAACTTTTTAAAACCTAAGATTTTAAAACTTTTTTCCTCAAAACTTCCTGTTAAGCCTACTAATTTATAATTAATCAAAAATCAAGGTAAAGAATGACGAACTTCTTTTGTTCCAGATGACATAGGTCAATTTACGAGTCTTTGAGGTTTCTCTCTCCACCTGAGTAATGTTTTTCGCCTACGTCAATGATAATGTGAGTCAGTCGAGTCGCGCGATATTATTATAGGTTGCAACTTTCATTTTTGTCATTTTAGAATGTCATCACAGTGGTTTGTGTTAGTATGCCTATGTTTATGTATAGCTACAGTAAGTGGCTACTTTTCGGATCAGTTTCGAGAATTTATACGTAAAAATTATGGTAAAAATATGGAAAATTTATTATGTCGTACTGATATTGGACCACATGCCAGTTTTGGTGGTGGTGGAGATCGACACAAGCCTAGAACACCTACACCGTAAGTAATTTTAAAAATCTTGATTTTGAGTCATTTTTAGACTTATAAAACGTCCGAAGGTCTATTTTCAGTTCAATTTTTTTTATCAACCTAAGAATAACTTTAAGCCTAAAATTATGACTTTAAGCTTAAAGTTTCATTTTTAAGCCTAAAGTTTCGTTTGTAAGCTTAAAATTTTATTCTTAAGCCTAAAGTTTCATTTTTAAGCCTAAAATTTCATTTTTAGCCCAAAATTCATTTCTAAGCCTAACATTTAAATTAAAGCCTAAAATTTCCCTTTAAATCTTAATTTTTATTTTTAAGCCTAGAATTCCATTTTTATGCCTAAAATTACATTTAAAAATTTTATTTTATCCAGCCACCGCCCAGTAATCCTAGTACATGGTATAACAAACACAGCTTCAAATTTTCATCAAATTCGACAATATTTCAATACTCACGGCTACCGAGACTTTGAAGTTTATGCTACAACTTATGGCGATGGTGGCAAAACTAATGCCGTCATGTTTACTATGAACTGTCAACATATGAAGATTGTAGGTTACTCTACCCTACCCTACCCTACCCTACCCTACCCTACCCTACCATACCCTACCCTACCCTACCCTACCCTACCCTACCCTACCCTACCCTACCCTACCTTACTCATAACCTGCCCTTGCCATAATAGAGCTCAGTCTTGGCTCTAGTATAGCCTGCTCTACCCTACCCTACATTACTATACCTTACACTACTCTACCCTACAATTCTTAAAATTTTAAACTAATTACAATATTATTTTAGATCCGATCCCTAATCCAAGTAGTAGCCGACTACACCAGTTCCAAAGTCAATGTCATAGGCTATTCAATGGGATCGCCAGTTGCTCGAAAAGCTATTTTAGGCGGTAAATGTGTGGACACGGGTGAAAACCTGGGCCCACCTTTGACAAAACTAGTCCATACCTTTATTGGTGTAGCCGGTGCCAATTTCGGCTCATTTTTGTGTGTCCTACCTTTTGGCAGTTGTAATTTGATTAATGGGCTTGGCTGTGGATCAAGGTTTTTGAATGATATCAATTCTAAACAAAGGTACGAAGGAGAGAAGGTGTTCACAATCTACTCGACCAACGATGACAAAGTTGGTCATCATGCTTGTGGAAGGGTGGCTAGTGATATTAATGGGCAAGACAGGTCTTTTTTGGTAAGGGACTTTATTTTTATATGGCCTAAAGGTTATTTTTAAGCTTAAATATATTTTTTAAGCCTACAACCTCATTTTTAAACTTAAAAGTGATTTTTAAGCCTAAAGTGCATTTTAAGCCTAAAAACAAATTCCTAAACCTAAAATTTTGATTTAAGAAAACCGGTATGAATCACGACCAAGTAATGTTAAACACTGGACCACTTCAAATGAACCTTCTCAATAAGGGAAAACCATAAATGGCCTTGGTTACCTATACACCTATAAAATAATATTATTGGCGTTCTCTACTGCTTAGAGTACAACATTTCAACTTTCTACATATTAATCTGATCTCAAAGCTACATTTCCAACTTTAATTTTGCTTTTTATATCATTTTATTCGTGCCAAAAAGTCTTGTCGCTTTTTTACGGTAAAGTGAACGCATTTTGACGACAAGACTTTTGTGGCAGCTCAATATGACCTTTTCTTATCATATTATTTTAGATTCTCACTTATAAATAAACATATTTACCTGAAAAACAATTTTTTGTTACGAAAACCATCAAACACTGGCTAAACTGGTCCAAAAATAAGTTATTTCAAGGGATTTTCAATGGACTCAGTGCCTCAAGCTCATAATTGACTAATTTTCAAAAATAAACCCACAAATATATAAAATTAATTGTTAAAAACATAAAAATCAATCTAAACCTACCTTTATTTGCCTCCAAAAGCCAATGTTTGCTCCAAAATCATCGATGTTTGCCTGAAGGAAATGGGATCGATGGAAATTCCGCGAAAACCTCGAATTTTTCGTTTTTTTTCGCAAAAAAACGGGACTTTGCCAAGGTTTTGGATCCAAGATACCTGAAAACTTTGGATATCTGGTCTTTTTATATCCTTTTTGGGACTGTAATATATCTTTACAGCAATACTTTGTTTAGTTATCATGGTGTCTTGACGAGCAAACGAGATTTTTCACTAATCTTTGGGTGGGATAATATCGTCTTTGAGAGTTCACACAAAATTACATGTTTCTTCTTTCAAATTCGATTTTTCTGAATTCTCCAGATATCGTGAAAAAGATTCTGAAACGGTTTTGTATTGGTTGTTTGGTTTTAGTTCATTTTAAAAGCTTTTTTGCCGTATCACCTACTATAATATCAATTAGATGGTTTGAACTTGATTTTGATTTTTTTATATGAATTAATAAGGTTTTATACAGGTTTATGATTATGCTGTCTATTATTAACATAGTTTTCTAAAAATTCGATTTTTTTTTCAATTTATTTTGGCACTTTTTCAGGATGCTTCAATATCAGCTGACATGGGTAATATTGATCGCCGTTTTGGCGTCTCAGTCATTGGCAGAAGACAAATCCAATGAAACTCGCCTTCGACATGGACATCAAAATCAATCAAAGTCAGTGACGGTGGTGAAGGAAGACGAACAGGCTCGGAATCTGACTAACGATGAGAACACTGCCATTTTGTTTTTGTCCGAACTGCAAGATGCTTTGTTCCAGGAGATGGTGGATTTAGAGAATGCGACTCAATTCTACTACAACCAAACTACAATTGTCTTTACTGATATGGTGGTAAGTCTTTTCCTTTTTTGTTGATGTTTAGGTAACAGTTGTAGAGAAAGTGGATGCTATTGGTGATGAAGGTGGGATTTCAGGCGCTTTTCTGATTTCTTGAAAAATTGCAGAACGACCCATGTGTACGGAATGGAAACTCGACTGTGCCAGCCATTATTGCCTTCGTTCTCGGCCTAATCGTGTACCCATTGCTCAAGTGTGTGTGTGTATCAGTTTGCCAGAGGACTCGTCGTCGTGCTCAGAAACGCTACCTCCGTGGACGTGCTATGGGCCGTGACCAAGCTGATTTGAACAAACTTATCGACCAGGCTGTTCAGGACAATTCGGACTTAGATTTGTAACTTGACATATCTACTACAATGTAGTGTCTTATGGTCTATTTCTAGTCTTTCTTATGGCTGTATGTCTCGTGTTTTACAATCTATATCTTAACATTTTATAATCTTGTTGATAACGTACCCCTTTTACATTATTCGGCATTCTAAGCTTTTGATTTTATTGATATTGAAGTTTTACCTTATTTTAGTGAAATTTTAACTAATCTTGAATATAACACTGTCATTTCATGTTAAAAAGGCCATTTTAACATTATCAAATCTTGTTCAAAGCATTATCTTTGATCTCATTTATTTTATAACTTAAATTTTCATATCTTTTTCTTATAAAACAATGCTTGAAAACATGTTTAAGCTAATAAATATTGATATAAAAAAATATTTGCTTTAGCACTTCAATATAAAGCTCAATATATTGCTATGAAGTGTAACTTATTGTTCACTGTATTTATTTAAAACTTTAACATTCCAAAATAACCATTAACATTATTCTGGTGAGTTGAAAGGGAATTAGGTTCTTGTTCGAAGAGGTATATATAGGCGTTTAAGGTAAAAGCTTTATACATCGCTGGCTACGGCCGTTTTTAAGTTGTTTGTGGTGTCCGGGTTCTTTTCGTTATCTGAAAAATATATAATTATTTTCAAATTTTATTTAAGGCTTCTCAAGCAAGGTTCGGATTAAAAAGGGTGTCTTTTAAAAATGAAACTTTAGGCTTATAAACGACATTCTAGACTTTAAACTGAAAACTTGGCTTTAGAAACAAACTGTAAAAAAAGATAAGTTTTAAGTTTAACCAAAGTTCAGACTTAATTTCAAGCACAAAATAAACCTAAACTTACTATCCTCCAACTTTTGCAGTTTCCCAAAATCTCCATGCAATGTGAACGCTGACAGTATGAACATGATCGCCGACAGAATGGCTGCAAGATTAGGCAACCAAAACGCCAATTTGATGGCTCTTAATCTGGACGGTGGACTGTGATCATCACCAGCGATCAAGTCCGAGATCTTGCCCACAATCGCCGGACTAGCCGCATCTCCGAACGCGTGGCCCACTGTAATTTGGAAGGCACTGGCAATGTTACGTTTTCGTGGTGGAACAATATACATCAGGAGGTCGACGGTGACGGCCCAGTTCAGTGAGAGGTGGGTTATTGAGAGGAACACAAAGACCTAAAAAACTCTTTCGATCGTATAAAACGTCACTTACGTAAAACACAGTGAAATCCCCGGGGAGCACTGCCATTGCTATGTACAAAAATGGCACAGCACCGGTTGACCCGATTATGCATACGAAAATGTCAGCTTTTTTACTTTTCGAGAAACAGAACCTGCCCTTCTTCCACATTGTAGCCACCACCGTTCCAGTTATAACGCCGACTAGGCCGGCTGATAACACTACCATGCCAAATACCGTGCCAATTCTGAAATGGTTTCGCAAAATACGTGGTTCCGTTGTTTATAGCCAAAGTTAAATTTTTTAGCCTAAAATTCATTTTTAAGTCTAAAATGCAATTTTTTAGCCTAAAGAAGCATCTTAAGCCTAAAATAAGTGTTCTAATTCTAAAAATATAATTTTTAAGCCTAAAATTAACTTTTAGTCGAATTTTCAGAAACCTACGATTGCCGCTCCTCTTCGGGCAAGTCAGCTACACTAGGCAACTTGGCAGCGGTCGCTTTGGCGTATTCGATTGTGTATGGTATCCACCAGCTCAACGTGCCTACTGTGAAAATCATAAAAGTGCAGCCCCAGGTCGAGAAGACGTATGTTTTGCTAAAAGATTTTATGTTATTTTAGGTAACAAATAGGCTGAAACAGCAAAAAACGGCCTTAATTCTAGCATAGATTTATAACATTGGTCCTAAATCACCTACTTTTTCATCAAATACCAAATATCTTTGAAAATACTTCCAGCCTCTTCTTCTGGCATCTTCTCCAACACTTCTCTCTTCGGTTCGTCCACAAAAACAATCAATACGATGACACAAATGGCACCTATTATCGGTGTAATCCTCAGCCCCCATTGCCATGCCCCCATAGCCGCTGCCACGTTCGATCCGACCACATAACCCAAGCCACTTCCGATGGGTATGGCCAAGTAGAATACCATGATCACTTTGCTTCGTACTGTTCCTTTGAACATGTTTATGCTTGGTGCTATGATTGAGTACGAGGCTTCACCAACGCCTACTATTACGCATATGCCGAGGAATAGGTAAAAGAGCTTGAAATGAAAAGGTAAGTATATTAATGTAGAGATTTGATCTCGAAGTTGAAAAGGGAATGTTAAGTTACAGTAATTGTAACTTACATTAGCCGGAACAAACGTCAACGCCATGACACCACCGATCCATATGACTAAACCAAATACCAAAATCCACTTTCTATTGTAGCGATCACCCAGAAACCCGCAAACCGGAGCCACACCCAGAAAACATGTAAGAAATATGGTTTTAATGAAGCCTGCCTGAGCGTTGTCAATGTCAAAGTAGGCTTGTACTTCCGTTAGAACGACTGAAAGTAGGTTAATACTATATATGATAACGTAACGTAGGGTACTGTATAGTAGGATATGGTAAAGTGTAGTAGGGTATGGTAAAGTATAGTAGGGTAGTGTAAGATATAGTGTTGTAAGGCAGGGTAGGGTAAAGTAGTGACAGTAGAGTAGGGTACATCATATGAGGGTAAGTTACAGTATAGAATGGTACAGTAGGGTGGAAGAGAGTATAGTAGGGTAAGGTTAAGAAATGTACCAGATATCGTCAATCGGTCCATATAGTTGACTAGATTAATGGTGAACAATATACCAATAACAATTATTTCTTTACATGTGATTTTAGTATCGACCTTAGGTTGTTCAGCTGCAGCCCTAAAACATTACTTTTCTAAAATATAGTAACACATTTAAAAAAAGCCATTCATTGCAAAATTTCATATTTTTTGAATAAAAAAAAATTAAAATTTTTGAACATTTTTTCAAATTTTAAAAAATTTTATCCTTTTTAGGTACGAACTCACACTTGATTGCCATTCTCCCCATCCTGTGCCGTCTTTTCTTCTGGACCAGGTTCAGCAACATCAACTGACTTCTGTTCCTCACATGTTTGTTCCTTTGGTTCATCAGCAGGATCATCGGCCATACCTAGATGAGTTTATCGACCGCTCAGCTACCCCAATCTATCAAAATTAATTTTTTTTTAGAAATGTAGATCACATTTGGTCCTTCAAAGTCTACATTGCAAACAAAAAAAGGTTGTCCTTTGAAACGTTTTTCATCGGTTCTCCTTCGGTGTTGATGGGTTTGTTGTCGCTTGTGGCTACCGTAGTCTTTTCTTGTTCTGGAAAATACAAAATTTTTGAAAATGTTATAAGTTAGGCTTAAAAACTGAATGGTAAAGCTTAAAACTAAAAATGAAGGCTTGAAGGTCTAGAACTTTAAATTTTGGCCTGAAAACGCACCTGTTAGGCTTTTAAATGGATTTTAAGGTACGTTTAAAACTTTTTTTTTCTATTTAAAATCTAGATTTTAAGCTTAAAACTTTATGCTTAAAAACTAAATTTTAGGCTATCAAATAAAACATTATGTTTAAAAATTACAATATTAGTGGCCAATGATAAAGCTACCCTACCCTTAACCTACTCTACCCTTTTTTACCCTACTTAAGGGCGAGAAACCGGCCCGCACCACTTTGGAGGCCCTGCCCGTTCCGACATGAGGCCAAGACCGGCCCGATCGTAGGGCCGGACCTACACAAGAATGCGATGGTCTAGTCAAGAAAAGGATTGGAACAGATTGGGTAGACACAACAGATCCACTTTTGAGGAAATACGAATAAACGATACGACCATAACAAGTATGGCAAACCCAGATGAAGGTCCACATCATCACCTGCGCCTACAATGTCTTCTAATTATAATTCAATGTAGAAAATATAAAATTTAAAACGGTAAAACACTGCCAAAACATATAAACAAAAACGCAAAATCAAGGTCAGTTATTTATTGGTCGGTCGATATTAGTCAACTAACAAGTAATGAGCAAAACAGTCGGTTCTGCGGTCGTTTAGACGGATCCTAGTTGGGACGGGTGTTCCTTCACCGGCCAGTTGGCATAATAGGTTGGGGAAACATGACCAGGGATAACCTTTCCATTTTCGTCAACTTTTTCTGGAGAAACCAAGTCGCCCCCGCGAGTTATGATGACCTGCGGTTTTTCCTCCGGCGTTGGGCTCGATGGTACGTTCGCTGGTATGTTCGATGTTAGGTTCGATTTTATGTTCGATGTTATGTTGGACTTGGTGTTTGACGATGGGATCCACGGTTTCCTCTCTCTTTTCTTGCTCTTTCTGCCAGTTCTCTTGCCCTTTATCTTGTAATACACTCCTAGTCCAATCAGCACTCCGAAGGCGATCCCAACAACAACGCAAATGAAAACAATCACCCAAGGTTCTAGAGGTACGGTGGAGGTGCTAAAACGAAAATATCAGAGTAAAACTAAACCTTAATTAAATGTTTAACTCATGACAAAAAGATTATATTCTGATGCTAGATTTTCTAAAAAAAAGTCAAAAAAAAGTTAACTACTCCGTCTCAGCGTGGAATTTTCAAAGCATAGACCAAAGAATGCCATAAACACTTACACTTCACCTTCTGTGGTTGAACTGGAAACAGCCGTTTCGGAGACTTCTGTGGTAGGCTCGGGCGTGGTGGTGGTAACTGGCTTAGGCCTAAAAAAATGTTTAAAAAACGTTCCAATTTAAGGAATTCTACACATAAAATAAAAATATAAAACTGACAAAGAAACCTAACCTCAATTAGACAGCAAAACTTTTGTGATAAAATGCAAAAAAAACTCGACAAAAATAAAAATTGCATGTAATCTCTAAAATCTTCAAAATTAAAATAAATTACATTTTAGAAAACTTACCTAAGGTACAGCACTGCCAAAGTTGTGTTGACTTCGGCGTCAGGCAGTTCACCTTTGGCCGACGCAGCACGGTTCTTCAGCGCGGTCTAAAATTCATAATTTCAGTTAAGTTAAAACAACCAAGCCATACAAAGACAGCCTGAGAAACATTTTGATTTATTCAGCTAAAATTTTAACAGTTGAAAAGAAAGAAAATTGTAAAGAAAATAATTTAACAGCTCCTTTACAGGTCAAAAATAAAACACTTTAAAGACTTACCATCGAAAACACTAGCTTTTCTACCTTCGGACATGCCTCTTGTTTCAAACTGGCAGATTTCCCCTCGACGACCAACTTCCGACACTGGCCTTCGCTTTCCCAAATCAGACCATCTGGAGTGTGACCAAAGGTCAGGCCGCAGACTTGAAGGTTGTTTAGATTCAAAGTTTGGAAAGAAGAGTCTGAAGGTGCTACAATCGGTCTATATGAAGCGATCCCACCATCTCGGCATTCTTGATACAGCACGTAGTCGTTGGAAGTGCTGATCTGGATTACGTCAAGCAGTTTTATAGCACTGCCAAAATACTTTGAGTCACGTTCCGCTGATACCAACGAGAATGCTACTAACGTGACCGGTCTACAAAGTAACAAAATTGTTCTGTTTTAACTCTATTTTAACAATCTTTTAACTAAAAATTCAAAAGTATTTCTTTTTTAAAAATTATTCAACAAAGCTTGTTGATAAATTTTTCCAAATTGAAAAAAATTATCGATAACATATAAAACTTACGAAACAAAGCCCTCCCCAGCGTGAACCACAGTGCCAATTTCTGTAGTTTGCGCCACAATGATATGCTTTGTAAACTTCAAACCCGGGTCAAGTTTGTACACACTGAAGAAAATTTAAAACTAGAAAAAAGCATACACAAAATTATGCAGTGCACAACTGGAAAAAACTTGACTGTATAACAGAGAAATTCAAAAAAGACTAAAATAACTTACGCAAAATTCCCCTGGACGGTTGAATTGTCTGGACAATGGATGTGCCTTGATGCTTTGGCAGTGGTACCTTCCACCTTGAATCGGTAGAAGTCCACGCATAGTTCCATGCCATCGTCCACCGTGAGTATGGACAGGGTGCTGATGGCCGCGTACGCGCTTGCCAAATTCATAACGACCGCCTCCGACCGCAGAAACCGCTGAAAGGATTTCCCAAATCTCTACGCCTTTTATATGAATGGCTTATCCAAATTTCAAGGTTCAAAGAAAATGCAAAAATTTATTTAAATTTTCGAGAATTCAAGCGGAAATTGTCAAAACTATTCAGCACCACCTTCATCTGCTAGCAGACCTGCTTCAATGTTATCCATGAGCGCCTTGAAACATGATTGTCTGGAATAAGTCGAATTCGATCTCGAATTTCGCAAACTTACTCCAAATAAAACCATCGGTTGCCAAATTAATTACTTTCATCATGCCAACTGAAAAATATAATCTTTCTGACCGACCTTGCTGTAACCTGAAAATCACCGACAATTAAAGCAAACATAAGTCTAAAACCTTTAAACAATTATATAAACCTATACATAAATGTTTCAAAAACCTAAAGCAAGATTTCCAATTGTCAAACAACTCAAAATTAATCTTTACAAGCTGCGATGTTATCCATGAAGAATTTGAAACGTGTGATTGCGTTGATAACGCGAAATTTGAGCCCGAAACTTGCTAAATGTCGCTCCATTCATCGAAAAGGGTGTCCTAAACGTTAAATAAATTAAAAAAAAGTTAAACGTACTCTAACATGTACTATTCCATTCATTTTACATTGAAAAACATCGATGAATTAGAGATTTTTAGAAAAATTCTGAGTTCGTTCAAAAAATCAATAGGAAAGCGAAGTGTCACAAAAGTTATTAAATGTTTTATTTCTTCGTCTTTTTGTTAATCGAAACTCTAGGATAACATAATTTTACTTCATCCAGAATTCAATCAAAGGTTTGGCAAAGAAACAAATGTCTACTTCAACGACGGATGGTTTAGTGTGGAACAAGTCTTATATTTTTAGGCGTTCTATACTTGGCCAATGGAACGAAAGTCAGTTTAGATCAATGTAGAGTAAGTGAAAACATCTTATAGTTAATTATGCACAGATTCTTGTTAAATGAAGATATCAACTTTATTAAATTTTTATTTTACTCATGAATACCATTCAAAACAGTGCTATCTTTAGGATATGGTGCTATTGCTGTCGATCTTGGTCGCATACTTTTGGCCTCGTTTTCTTGGGAAATGGAAGCCGGTTTCATATATTGAACTTGTTGCTGGCCCTCTTGATTTAACAGTAAGGTTCGGGAAAAGTCGGGTTCTTCAGTGCTGGAGCGATGCCTTTGGCCCATTTCGACACTGACATATTGGAATTGGCAGCCTGCAAAAAAATAGCAAATTTAAGAAGACTTTAGGCTTGAGTTTGTTCATGAACTTGGGCCACAAAATATATGGATTGCGATGTAAAGAAAAATGCCTGAAAATTAAAAGTAATGTAAATTAGGAAAAGTTAGGGTAGACGTAAGGTAAGGCACTGCTAGCGCTTGAGAAGCAGGGGTAGGGCAATGATAAAGAGAATTTAGCTTCACACTTCTCAATCAACAAATCTACAGCCCAAAAAAATTCAAAGAGTCGTTTATTCAAGATCTCTAGTTCTTTCCCTTGTCCAGGGCAGCCAAGCTTTGGTAGTTGTTCACGACCGGAGTGGCAGCAGGGATTGGGACCATGAGCTTGATGTTCCGCTCAGACACGATTGAGTGGGCACTGACCGTCTCCTCGAACGAAACGTGACCGCCGGGCTCCTCACTAAAATTCAAAACTAAAGTAAGTTGAAACGAATTCGTAGTCTTTAAACCAAAATCTATTTCGAAAGTTACAGAAACAAATTTAAATTTATCTACCAAGTTTCCAACCATGTTAATTCAAATCAACAACCTTTTTTAACCTACCTTCCCTTCAAGATGCTCTTTTTGGGTTTCGGATCGCACTTCTTCAGTTTCTCGAGTTGTCCATTGCAGATGTCAACCACGTCCGGCGCCATCGGTGGATCAACTTCGGTCTGATTGCCTTTGTAAAACATCAGAATCTGGCGCACTTGAGCCTTTTGAATGGGACCCTCCGCCTGCTCGATGAGAAAAGTCACGAACGGCTTTTTTTGTGCACGTTCCGTGACCTTCTCCGCAACCTCAGCCGAGTTGGAAACGGTTTCGCCGTCCACATCGAGAATGGCATCGCCCAGTTCCAAGCAACGAGCTGCGCACGTGAACTCGTGCAGATCCAACACATAGACTTTGTTGTCCGTAGTTCCAACGTGAAGACTCAATGGCCGTCCCTCGATGTGGTACAGAACGGCCAACTTGTACGAGAAGCCTTCCCGTCGCTGGTCCATGGGAAGACGCTTGGTGTCCAGAGGAAGAACGTTGACCGGTCGCAGCAACGTGACTTCACACTAAAATCACACCTTTTCGTTTTTCGAAAAAAAAAGTTTAATTTCACAAAACAAAACTTACGGTCAATCCTTTGGCCGCCAGCTTCTTGTACAAGTTGGTGAACTTGCTGAAGTTAGCCTTGGATCCTTTCCACAAGCTTTCGCCGTTCAATGTCAGAAGGACGTCGCCGAACTCGATCCTGGTTACGCCAGCGCCCTCCATCTCAAGTTTGGTGACAATCATTGTCTTGGTGTTCAGGGTAACACCACACTAAAGCAGAAATAAATTTAATTTTAGCTTTTTTTACCTATTCTTTGATCTTAAAATATTAAGCCAGCTCAGCATCAGCCCAAAATTAAAAAAACAAAGCTTAAACTTACACTTTGTCCCGGGTCAACCTGGAACGTGACCGTGACGTCTTCAACCATCTTCTTCGGCAGCACTTTGCCATAGGGCGCGCACTTGACCTTCTTGTCGTTGTCGACCGACTTGGTAGACTGAGACGAGCACGACGAACGACGACCCATAGTTTCGGAGCAAACGTTGGAGTTGAGGAAGAAAGACTGACTCCGACCTCAAAAACCGCTGAAATTAGAGATTTCTCAAATCTCCACGCCTTTTATAGGGCTGGCTTATTCAAATTTCAAAGTTCAAAGCAAATGCAAAATTTGATTCAAATTTCTAAATTTAGTTGTAGTACAGTACTAAATGGTACTAAAGCTTAAATTGGTACGGTTTTCATATTTTTTGGTACCAGATGGTACTTAAAGTTTAAATTGGTACCGCACTTCAAGACGCGGACTTGGCAGTTTTTTCACACTTCTTCGCAATCAATAGTTGCGAATAGTTGTTTTCGAAAAGAAAAAGACTTTTTTCGCGGATAATTTTCTACTTTCCGGTCAAAAAGTAAATAGAAAAGTCAGTTAAGAGAACCAAATTAAGAAATACAAAAATTCTACTTATTTTTCGACCTAACTAGCTTATTTTTCGACCTAACAAGCGACCAAAAGACCGGAATTATTTCCAAACGAAAAAATATTATCTTATTTTTTGTGACATTCCGTTATTTTTCGACCCGGTAACGAAATGACAAATCATCTTACTAGGGAATTGAACCAAATATCCCTCGGCTTTTTGAACGAGACCTATAGGATGAAAGAGCATAAAAAGTTATCGGGAAAACTGTTTTCAGAAACTGCTATATGGATTCGAGGGATGTTTGGTGCAATTTCCTAGTTAAGCTATTGTCTCCAAATCTTTACCTTTTGACCTTATAAATTACATTTAACTGATAATAAAGCAAAAATAAATTTATTAACATTAACAACATTTCGAACGCTTAAAACAATATATTTATGGCACAACAAGTGGCTTTAAGATATTCATTGCGTAGTTTCGGCCCGTATTCGAAGTTTGGAAGGTATGAGGAGATCACAAGCTGGTTAATATTCCTGTGATTTGAAATGGTTTTTGGTCGAGTCGCCCACGGCGCTGGTCATCTTTTTGGTGTTTATGGTGTCGGAGTTTTTTTCGTATTCTGGAAGATAAAAATTAAATAAAATCACAGGCTTAAAAAGTAAACTTTCAACTTTAAAAATAAAATTTCAGGCTTAAAATTGAACTTTAGGCTTGAAAATCAATTGTAGTCTTAATAATGAAATTTTGAGCTTAAAATTGAACCTTAGGTTTAAAATGAAAGTTGTGGCTTGAAAAGTAAATTTTAAACATAAAAATGAAATTCTAGGCTTCAAAACCACTCTATAGGCTAAAAAAACCTCAATCAAAAAACTTACTAACTACATCCAACTTCTGCAACTTCCCCAGATCACTTCGTAACGTAAACGCTGATAACGTGTACATCACCACCGATAGTATTAGTAGTACATTGGGCAGCCAAAAGGCCAATTTTAAAGAATCAAACTTGGCTTGAGGAGTGGTATCACCAGCTGCAGCCCAATCAGCAATCTGACCCACAATCCAAGGACCTGAGGCATCGCCAAAGGCATGGCCTACTGAGGTTTGAACAGCGCTGGCTATGTTCCGCTTTCGTGGTGGGACAATATACATTAGGAGGTCGACGTTGCAGGCCCAGTTAAGTGATAGGGCGGTTACTGTGATGAATATGAACACCTGAAAAGAGGTTTTTAAAATTGTCTGGTTTATGTATAATATAAAATGTCAGTTTTCCCTAAAATATAGTTTTTTCGTACAAGGCGGCTTTTTTGCTAAAAATCAATTCTAATGGAACAAAATGCCACAATGTCAAAAAATGACATTTTAGGTAATAAAAATAAAATTTGTTCTTAAGAACTAAATTATCATCGTTTTGACAGTAAAACTAAGTTTTTTATCGTATAAAATGTCTCTTTAACAAAAAATCAATCGTAAGGATACGAAATGTCACTTTTTACCATTTTGAATCATATAAACCCTAATTGTTCTGTTAAAAACTCATTCTTTCGTATAAATTGTCGCTTACATATGAAAGTGTCATAACACCGCCAATGGTCAGCAAGGCCACATATAAAAATGGCACAGCTATGGCTGACCCAAATATGCATACAAAGATGTCAGCTCTTCTACTCTGACAGTTTCTGAAGCAAAACGAGCCCTTCTTCCACATTGTAGCCACCAGCGTGCCAGTTATGACGCCAACTAGCCCTGATATCAACGTTATTCCACCAAATATTGTGCCGATTCTGTAATATGTTAAAGTAAGGTAGTAAAGTAAAGTAAATTCTTTGTTCCAAATTTAATTTACAAAAAATTAAAGCTGATTTTAAAGCCTGAAGGCATGATTTAGGCCCAAAGTTTAACTTTAAGTTAAAAAAAGTTTAAAACCTACGAATTTTGATCTTCTGGTGACAACTCTGACGTGCTGGACAAATTGGCAGAAGCTGCTTTGGCGTATTCGATCGTTGACGGAGCCCACCAACTCAACGTGCCTACTGTGAAGATCACGAACGTGTAGCCCCAGGTCGAGAAAACGTAGGTTTTGCTGAAAAAAACATTTTTTTTTAGTATTTTAAGTAACAAAATCAAAAAAAATTTTTTTTAACCTTACCCTACCCTAACCTATAGTATGTTTTAAAATAACATGACCTACCCTACCCTACGATAATATATGTGTTACCATAACATGCCCTACTTTACTCCTGGTCTTAATCACAACTTTACTGACACCCCCCCCCCCTCGACCCCCGTTTACATATAAAACCATCTGTAAACTACTTACTTCTTCAACAAATACCAGCAATCCTCGATAATATTCCCAGCATCTTCATCCTGAATCTTCTCCAGCACTTCCCTCTCTGGCTCTTCAACAAACACTGCCAGTACAACAACACATAGTGCTCCGAAGATCGGCGTAACCCTCAATCCCCATTGCCATGCACCCATAGCCGAGGCTACGTTTGATCCTATAATATAGCCCAATCCACTGCCTAAGGGGATGGCCAGGTAGAACACCATGAGTACTCTGCTTCGTACTGTTGCTTTGAACATGTCGGCTATTACGGTTGGTGCTATCACTGAGTACGAGGCTTCACCAGTGCCTACTACTCCTCGTAGGAAGAGAAAGAGGTAGAAGAGCTGAAAAGAGAGAAATTATTGGTGTTATTGATATAAAATGACATTTTAAATCTATAAATACACATTTCGTTGTACTATAACATGTCCCTACAGCCAAACAGATAATTCTTATCACTATAAATTATCCAAAAGCCCCTAAATATCAGTGAAATATGCTCTAAAACTAGCTAGCTACTAATATAGACCAACTTACATTCCTCGGAACAAAAGTTGAAGCCAGTACAGCAGCGATCCATATCACTAGCCCAGCAACCATGATCCACTTTCTATTGTAGCGATCGCCCAGATACCCACAAATTGGAGCTACGGCCATGAAGAAGACAATAAAAACAGTCTGAAGCAGGCCTCCTTGAGAGCTGGAGAGATTGTAGTAGGCTGTTACGTCCGTTAGAACGGCTAAAACAATATATTTAAACTTCAAAAATACACCTTTGATCGTATAAAATGTCCCCCTTTTTCAAAAATACACCTTTGGTCATATAAAACGTCCCAAAGCCCTAAAAACCTTACCAGATATCGTTAATCGATCCATGTAGTTAAGCAAATTAATGGTGAATAATATCGTAATAATAGCATATCCTTTCGGTGTAATCTTGTCATCAATTTCAGTAGTAATATAAGAGTAAGTATTAGTCGATTGTATGATAGTGGTGCCACTGAAGCAATGTTATTATTGAAAACCTTGAAAGCCAAAAATAAATAAAAAGTGTCCCGCTATTTTTGATTCAACCTAATATAACATGGGAAGTTTATGGGTACTATTGGTGGTACAAAGAATTCATATAAAAATTTTTGCTTTTCAAAAAAAACTTTAAAAAACTAAAATTTCCAAAAATTCAACTGACGTTTTACTGCCATTCTCCTCACTATGCACCCTCTTCGCCGTCATCACAGGATCGGGAACGGCGGCTAACGACACATCGTGAAAGGAGGCTTTCCGCGGAGCATCACCGTGAGATTCCTCAGTCATTACTGAAAATGATTTTACATGATAAAGAGATAAGCATAAATTATTTTGAAAATAAAAACAACACGCTTTTTGGGCTAATATCGTTCATTCAATTGAGTTAAACCACCAATCTTTAGGCTTAAAAAAGTTTATTTTTAGGCTGTGTTTGCAATTAAGCCTACATTTTGACTTTGAAGCTTAAAATTAAAATTTTATGCCTAAATTTTAATTTTTTGAGCTTTGATTTTTAAACCTAAAATTTTATCTTTAAACTTAAAATTTGTATTCAGAAGCCTACAGTTTAAGTTTTAAGTCTAAACCTTAGTAAAAGAAAAAATAAGCGTAATAGTTTATTCTAAAACTTGAGTTCATTTTTAAGCCTAAAATTTTATTTTTAAGCCTAAAAATATATATTAAACCTAAAATTTCAGTTTTAAGCCTACAATTTCATTATTAAGCCTAAACTTTAGTAAAAGAGAAAATAAGCCTAATAGTTTATTTTAATGCTTGAAGGTTCATTTTTAAGCCTAAAATTGATTTGTATGCCGTAAACTTCATTTTCAACCCTAAACTAAAAAAACTAAATCCACTGTTTCAAAGTCTCGTAAATAAGCCTATTGTAAACCTCAACATGAGTCGTAAAACAAAACTTTTGAAAAACTTTGTTGTCAAAACCACCCCACTCTTGAAGAAGCACGTGTTAGAAAAACATTTTAAAAAAGCCTGTCGAAAGATAAACACCCGGAAAGGTGTTTTAATCGTTTTACAGGCCTCTTATCAAGGAACGCCTTGAAACCCGCATGTTTCGACGTGAAATGTGGTTTTCAGGATGTCGTTTTTATCAGTTTGCAAATTTAAAACAGGAGGTTTTGTTTAGATAATTTTAAAAACAAATTAAAATTTTTAAAAAGAAAACGTGAAAATTAAAGCCTAAAATTAAATTTTTAAGCCTAAAGTTTATTTTCTAACAAAATATTACTTTTAAGCTTTAAATCCTCTTTTATGCGCAATTTGGGTAGCCTAGACGTTATTTTTAAGCCTAAATTTACGTTTAAGCTTAAAAATTTGTTTTAAGCCTGAAAATTTATTTTAAACTTAAAATTTTAATTTTAAGTACAAAATTTGTTTTTAAGCCTATTCTCTTTTTTAAGCTTAAAATTCCATTTTATGACAGTTTTATTTTCAAACCGAAAATTCATTTTTCAACGTTAAATTAGTTTTTAAGAATAAAATTCATTTTTTTAAGCTTAAATTTCATTTACAAGTTTAAAATTTTATTTTTAAGCCTAAAATCCATTTTTAGGCCTGAAACCTATTTGTAAGCTTAAAATTCCTTTTCCAGATTAAAATTAGTTACCCATAATTTTATAAATCTTTTTAAGCCAAAAACGTTTCAATATCCAACCAGTATCTTCTCCAAGGCAACCCTCAAAACAAGCTCAACATAATATAGGACTTGGCTCACCGGACGTGTCGATTTACAAAACGCGTTTAATAAAAAGATTGTAGGATTAAAAGTAATGTGACAAATCCGGAAATTGAAGAGGTGTACTAGAAACACGATACAGTGATTAAGAAGACTTTAGAAATGACGTTGTTATTAAAGCCTAGAACTGAATGTAGCCGACTAGACCCAATCCAAGCCGGAGCCAAGTCAAAAAAACAATTTTAAAGAATCGGGCCATGCCGGTTTGTGCGAACCAAATACCCAGATCTAAATGAAGGCCTCAAAAACTCAGCTTTTGTCTTACAATGAAAGATTTGGCTTATACAATACAAACCTTTAACAAATTGTAATATGTACAATATTTCAAAAACGTGGTTTTTCAAAAAGTGACATTTAATTTTACAAATTCAAAAGCATTTTATATGAATGGTATATCAACGATAAATAACAAAATAACTATATTTATAAATAACAAATAAATTTTTATTAGTCATTTGATATGTAAACTACAATTCGATACAACAAAACAACAAAATTTCAATGCTAACAAAATTAAAAAAAGGCATGTGTTTTTGCCAAAAAATATTTGTTGTCAATGCGGAAATAACATATGAGTACACAATACAAATTTTGAAACATAAATACAAAAAAACACAAACCAAGTATGTGGATGTTTTTTTTGTTTAGGGGGTTGAAGAAAAGCAGAACTATTTTTTATTTCAAAAGTGGCTTAAAAAGGCCCAAGGCTGTTTTTAAAAAAAGTCTACAAAACTAATTTTTAAAACATGGTCCTAAGGCTGACCTTAAAAAATGGCTTCAAAGCAAATTTTCGAAATTTTTTTTCTGTTTTTACCCCTCCCTCCACCAACTTTTTTCAAAAAAAACTATTTTACAAAATAGTTTGTTCTGGTCGTTCTTTGAGCATATTATGCGGCCTCTATGTTACATTATTACCCATAAAGACGAAAGAAATACATAATTCATAAAAACGTACCCAAAAATTTAAAAGCTAGACGTAATTACAGTAAAACCCCTGTATAATGAATCACTCTGGGTAAGGTAAAAATAATTTTTTCTTGCCTACAGGTACCTAATTGTAAAAATTTTTAAAAAATTCGCTTTGTGAGGGGACAGGTCAACCCTATTTCCCCCTCCCATCCCTAGCGAGGTTGTTTCGTTATACAACAGTTTTAAATGCACTATTATACATAATAGCAGAGGATTTAAAGCCCTTTGTTATACAGAACTCTCGTTATACAAAAGTTCGTTATACACGAGTTTCACACTATACCTATAAAAAAGCTTCATAATATAATAAAAAAAAATTTCCTGCATAAAAACCTTCAAAAAATGCAAATGATTTTTCGTTTTTAGCCGAAAAACATAAAAATCTCGTCGAATTTCAATGGAAACAGAAACATTTTACTGTTTGGGGAAGCAAAATTGTATTCGAATTGAGGGAAACGCGCTTATTACTTTTTGGAAGGCGTGAAAAGTCACATAAATACGCTTTAATGGCCATATAAATGTGATGATGGTTTTAATAAGGTAAATAAATTTTTGCTTTTTTAAATTTTATTGCTTTTTTAGGCTTAGAAATTAATTTTAGGCTTAAAAGTAAAAAAAAATCTTAATGACGACTTTTAGGCTCAACTAGCAATCTTTTATTATTAGAAATGACATTTGGGCTTAAAAATTGAAATTTTAGCTTAGAAAATACATTTTAGGCTTAAAAGTGTATTTTAAGGTTAAAAGTGAGTTTTAGGCTTAGAATCGATTTTAAGCTCAAAAATGAAAATTTAGGCTTAAAAGTCAATCTTAGTTTGAAAAATGAGTTTCAGGCTTAAACATGAGATTTAGGCTTAAAAATTAATTTTCGGCTTAAATTATAAGCTAAAAGTAAGTGTTAAGCTTAAAAATCACACTTAAGCTTAAAACGAATCTACTAGGCTTAAAAACCAAAATTTAAAAAAATTATTTAAAATCGAACACAATCCCTCAAAAACTCAACAAAATATACCTAAATTCCCATAAAAACCGGTCAAAACATCCCTTACTCAACAGAACATCCGAAGATGGAATGTGAGATAAGTTCGGGAAAGACAAAATCGAAAATATTTTGGAAGATTTTTCGCGCATAAACTCAGCCGGAGGGGTTTTAAGAAAGGTAGAAGAGAGAAGCACCCAAAAGGTGTTCGACATTCGCCGCAGAAATTGGGAAAAAGGTCACTACTTCAATTTGTTTTCAAGGAGATTTCGCGAAGAGAGAATATTAGCTATCGTTGCTATGAAAAATAGATTGACTTTTTAGGCTTAAAATTAAAAGTATGGGCTTGAAAATGAATTTAAAGCAGTAAATTTTTGGCTTAATGCATTGTAAGCTTAAAAATGAATATCAGGCTTAAAATCGAATTATAGGCTTACTAATCGACTATAGGCTTAAAAATGCATGCCAAAATAAAAAAATTGTTTTTAGACTTAATAATGAATTTTAGGCTTAAAAATGTAATTGCGTGCTAAAAAATGAAATTTTAGGCTTAAACGTATAAATTGTAGGCTCCAAAATGTAATTGGGTGCTTAAAAATTAAGTTTAGGCTTAAAAAGCAATTTTAGGCTTAAAAATCAATTTTAAGCTTAAAAAATGATTTCTAGGCTTAAAAATACATTTTTAGGCTTAAAAATACATTTAAACTTAAAAATGAGTTTTAGGCTTAATAATGAAGTTAAAAGCTTAAAAAAGAATTTTAACGTTAAGACTAAAAAAAGTCATACAATAGCCAAGTGTTAAACATATGGCTTATATATCAATCAAGGCACTCCTTTTTAGCCTTTTCTAGTCTACACGACATTGTAATCATTTCAAGTTTGGTTGATAACAGAATAATTATAATACAACACTTGTAAATTTGCACAAAACACAAGAAATGACATCGTTATTCAGTAGTTACTTGGGCTCTTAAAATTAGATTAAAGATTAATTTTAGACTTATAACAGATTCTGAATAAGATGACGCACATCATGCCAAAATAAAAGAATGGAACTAAGGTGGCCGTGGCATTTCGTTAACTCAAAAGTCTCAAATATTGATTCAAAAAATAAAATAAATATTTAAAATGTTGAACGAAACGTGTGAAATTATCAAATAATAGTTAAAATAAATCAAATTTTGAGCTGTAACAAATATTAAAAAAATCGCTATGTTGCGACGGTTCTTTGAAGGCCAAACTGGTCTTGATCCGTCAAAGAATCGTCCAGATATCACACTACAAGTTTACTACAAACGAATTTCATTTTCGAAATTCCGACCGCTTAATTTCAAACAATTTTTTACAAAAAATAGAATTTCACACTTCGCATCGTTTTTTACACGAAATGTCACTCTGTCTTTATTTCCTCTTTTGGCATGACGTGTGACGACCTTTAAGCATAAAAATGAAACTTTAGATTTAAAAAGTAAAATTTAGGTTTAAAATAAAAATTTAGGCATAAGGTTAAAATTTAGGCTTAAAAATGAAATTTCAAACCTAAAAATAAAATTTTAATATTAAAAATGACTTTAGGCTTAAAAATTAAAGTTTCGGCTTTAAAATGAAATTTCAGGTCTAAAGATGAAACTTTAGGATAAAAATGAGATTTTAGGCTTAAAAATAAAATTTAGGTTTGAAATAAAAATGTAGGCTTAAAACTAAAATTTAGGCTTCATAAGTAAAATTTAGGGTTAAAAATAACATCTAGGTTTAATAATTATAATTTGGGCTTGCAAATTTGAAAGTAGGCTTAAAAATAAGAAGTTAGGCTTAACGATGACTTAAGGGCCAATAGTGAGATTTTAGGCATTCCAGTTCAACTTTAAGCAAAGAGATTAGTTTGTTGTGCTAAAAAATGAGAATTAGGCTTAAACAGTAAAATCTAAACTTAAAAACAAGACTTAAACATAAAGTATTATTTTAAGCTTCAAAGTTATGACATACCATTGCTTAGCCTAAAAAAATAGTATTTCAAAAACGAAACCTTCAAAATAAAATTAAAAAAAAAACAGATTTAAACCTACAACCAGGGGGAGGGACGGAAAAAAAAATTTTCGAAAAAAGTTGAACGTGGTCGGTCCCCCTTGTGGATTTTTGGAAAAAAATTTTTGCAAAAAATCGGCACAGGTACCTGTGCCGATTTTTTGGACCCCTGCCCCCAGACCAAAAGTCCCCGCCCGGCCCTGCCTACAACTAATGACCCCCTTTTAAACTCCAAGCCCTCAAAACTAAACCAAATCATGACCTGCACTTTAAACGTTATTTGAACCCAAAGTAGAGGGCTTTAACACGAGTAATCAAAAGGTTGTAAATAGAGAGAGGGAGAGAGACAAACCGGATATACAAAGACTTTTTGTATGTTTTGCTTTTCAGAGCAGCATGAGCAAATATAATCGTCAATATATATTGACTTTGAGAATTTTTTGACTGTTTGCAGAAATTTTTACAGATAATTTTTTGAAAATTAAATTTTAGACTTAACAACGGAAGTTAAGGCTTAAAAATTAAAAATTAGGTTGAAAGTTGGTTTTTGAGAGATTAAAACATAAGGTAGGCTTAAATATGCACATTTAATAGGTTTAAAAGTGCGATTTGTTGCTTCAAAACAAGCTTTTGAAATAAAAAATAATTTTTGCCTTAAAAATAAAGTTTTAGGCTTAAAAATGAAATTATACACTTAAAAAACGTTTTAGGCTTAACAATGAAATTTTAAGCTTAAGAATGAAAGTTGAGGCTTTAAAAAGACATTAGGCTTACAAGGAAAGTACCCTACCTGCCCCGCTCAGAATCAGCTCAAAATTTTTATATGAATTCTTTGTACCACCAATAGTGCCCATAAAAAATTTTAGCTCGCGCTTTTGAGTTCCAAATTTAAATTATTTGGGTTTCCCGCTAATTTGGCAAATTTGGCATTGTGTTTCAAGCACTTTTTTGGCTTTCCAGACAAGATACGCTTACAAATTTTAAAATGTAGGTTCATTTAAAGGTTTTCTACTAGTATCGAAGAAAAATAGTTAAAAGTCAAAAAAATGACAAAGTTACAAGCTTGAAACACAATGCCAAGTTGGCGGGAAATTCAAAATGTCATTTTTTAATCTCGATTTTCTCGAGAATTCCGGGAAAGCGATTTAGTACTTTGCTGAAGATCTTATATTTACATGATTTTTCTTTATAAAAAGTTTGAAGTCAATCAGAGCGGGGCAGGTCGGGCACTTTCCTTGTTCAAAATGAAATTTTAGACTTACAAATAGATTTTGTCTTAAAGATAATTTTCAATCTATTAATATCCATTTCTACCCTCAATAAAGAAAAGATAACACTACCATAAACATTCCCCCTCCCTTTCTTTTTCCATACCTTCCTATTATTACCCATTGCACCTTGTTTTTGTATTGTGATAGCCTCTCATCACAATACAATGTTTGTATAGTAAAAAACGCGGTACATAAATAATTCTTTTCAACTTTAAGAACCAAAAATGTTATCAAAAACTTATCACAACATGTTTATATACAAGTTATTAACAGTAATCGTCTTAGGAATCGGATTTTAATTCGTTTGAGACAACCGTTGCAGCATTAAGCCCTAAGGGCTTTACGGTCATGCGATTTAATATTTCAAATTTTGTGATTTGAAAGTTTGTGGTGTGTTGATTGTAAAATGGCAGTTACTTAGCAAAACTTAATTTTTTTTTCAAATTTTCAAATAAAAAAAAATTTTTTTAGAAGTTTTAAAAAAATTTAAAAAAATTAAATTTTGAAATTTTTTAACAATAAAACTAAAAATTTTCAAATTCAAACCCCTAAAGCCTCTTAAAACTCAAAAAACAACGTTGCATTACTCTGCGAATGATGGTAAACTGACCAGCGAAAAGTGAAAGCCAACGATTACAATTTGAAGGTGAATAACAATGTTGAAATGTGATTTGTTTCCGTGCTTTGTGAGTCATCAAACTACTCTTAACTTTGAATGTTAAACGTTAAACAAAAAAGGATTTGTGATATTAAAAAAGTTTTTGAAATTTGCAATAAATTGCACTTTTAGGGCACAGTACTACTATTTAGTAGAAGAAATATAAAGAGTGGTAAACAAAATTTAGAGCTCGGGCTCTGAGCTAGGGCTCTGGGCTAGCTCTCTAGGCTAGGGCTCTGAGCCAGGACCTTGGACTAGGGCCTTGGGCTAAAGCTCTAGGCTAGGGCTCTGCGCTAAGGTTCTAAGCCAGGGCTCTGAGCTGGGGCCTTGGGCTAGGGCCGTGGGTTAGGGCCCTGGACTAAGACTCTGGGCTAGGACTCTGGGTTAGAACTCTGAGCTAGGGCTCTGAGCTAGAGCTCTGGGCTAGGGCTTTGGGCTAGGGCTTTGGGCTCTGGGCTAGGGCTCTGGGCTAGGGCTCTGGGCTAGGGCTCTGGGCTAGGGCTCTGGGCTAGAGCTCTGGGCTAGGGTAGGGCAGGTTAAAAATGAGTTTTGTTTTAAAATAACTTTATCGTTTTTCATTGTATTTTGCAACCGTTTAAAATTAAAAATTTATCAAAACAATCAACAAACACAACAGTCTCTATTACATTTCCTCTGAAACGCCTAATCATTATTCAAACTTAATCATATCATTGTATACATGTTCAAGTGAATGGTTTCGAACCAATATACGGAGGGAATTTGGGCTGGTTTACGTTTTTCCTAAATTTTTTTCCATTTTTTTAATTTTTTTTTATTTATCAGCGCTTTATGAGGTACTTTTAATCTTTACTTTAAGTTGAAAGCTTATGTTTAACCTAATTTTTAACTTTTTTAAGCCCAACTTTAGCCCAAAAATTCAAAAAACCGCAATTTCTTAAAAACTTTGAAATTCGTAGTCTCTTCTTCATGATCAAACGTAAAAACAAAATAAAAACTAACCGAATCAAGCACAAAAGTCAATTAGAATCGAGGAGACGGCCGAGAAAAAGGCTTAAAAGTTTGGAAAAGCCTCGAGGGCCCTTTTACCTTTACGTGAACTTGACTTTTTTGGATCGATTTAACGAGAATTCAAAACATTTCTGCTGGCTTTTGTTTCCTTCTAGCTGTCGACCGCTTTTGTAAACATTAAATTGTAAAGTTTACTTATTTGCGGCGCAAACAGCTAGCATTTTTGGGGTTTTAGCTTACTTTTTGTTCAAATTGGCTTTAAGGCGGAATTTTTTAAATTAAAAAATAAAATTTTAAAAATATTTTTATTTTTTTAAAATACTTTCAAATAACCACTCTTTATTTATTTACACAAGTGTTTTTGTTTATTCGCAAGCATTTTCTTCTCTCTCGGATAACTTGTCACCCGCAGTTCGCGCACCTCTTAAGAAAGAACTTTTCTAGACAAATTTTTGTTTTTTTAGTTATAAGATAACAATAATAAGGTAAAATAAGATAAGTTATGTTTATTTTTCAAAGTTGACTCATTTTAAAAAATTTTTTGAAATAATTAACCACTTGATTATGACTTTCTTATCTTTACAGCTACTTTATTCACTATTTTGCCGCGATTTCTTTGATAACTTGTCGCTGTCGAACTTGAATTTCTTTGAAGTTTAACATACTATTGTTATATTGTTGCTAATTGGCTTTGAGATTGTTTTTATTGGCTTTTAAAATCGTTTTACAAAGTTATCTACAACATTGTTACCTAAAACAATATTAATCATATTTTGGGTTTCTTAACGTTTTGTTACCTAAAAATTTGTAACCTTGAATAAAAATGTTATATTATTAATCAGTATTGAATAAAATACGATTTAACTTTGGTTTCTTTATTACTTCTAACAACCTACTACAATATTCTCTAAAATCGTCTAAACTATATATAAAATGGAACTAATCATAGCGTATGTGGTATCAAAAGCTGCGATATTTCAGTACAGACGTCTTAAAGGGCATTTTAATTTACAGATGGATTTGTTTGGCCAAGTGCGACAAGGAATAGCGAAGGCGGTACAGAAAGCTACGGAGAATCAAGTGTTCCACGAATTCCCAGAATGCTCTATTCTTGGATCAATCGACCGAGTGTCAATAAAGCTTGCTGATCCTCACGTGTAAGTTAATTTTACTATTACATGTTATTTTAGTTAAGTTTGAGAAGGTTCTGACCAATTTCTTGAAAGTTGTTTTGACTGTGCGAAGATTTTGGAGGTATTGCTTTAGATCAGCACATTTTTGAAAAGATTATATTTTTAAGTGTTGTAACTAAACAAATAATTTGTATATAGTATTTTTAACCTTATCATACTTTTTAGAAATGAAATGCTCACTCATTGGGGACCAAATACAAAGTTTGAGCACGTTGGTTTCCTGATCCGTGATGAAGATAATCGAAAACAAACCCTTATGACCGCAGAAATGATTAGTGGTAATGGAATAGTGTTGAAAAATATGGCAGGAAAACAGATTATGGTTATCAGGTTACCGAACAATGATCCAAGTAGCTTCGGCAAGCTTATGCATCCGGCTCCTGCGACATTGTTCAAGGTATAGGTGGTTTGTAATTGATTATTTGAAGGTTTTTGGTAAAATACGATTCTGATTTTGATGGGAATTAAAGAAGAAAGGATTCTCTTGATTAAAAAAGTATAATTTTAAAGAAAAAGTTATGTTTTTGAGATTTTAGAGCTAGCGAGAGCCAAAAATTTGATTAAAAATGTAGAATTTTTGTTTTTTTTTATTTTTTAGGTAACACATTGACCTCAAAACTTTTTCAATTTTTAAGCAACGCATCTTTAGAGTTTTACAAACGTTATTCTATCTGAACCACTATTTTATTCAAAGATTTAACATCATCTTTCTAATTTATATTATTTTAGGTAACACCAAAACTAACCCCAGTTGGTAAGACCTTCATTGTTCATAAAGCAAACCAAACTCGAGATGAATATATTTATGCAGAAAGAGTAAGTTAAGTAACGAAAAGTTTTTTTTAAATACCAAAAGTTGTTAACAGTGTACTAATTAAGTTTGTTTAGGAGCCGGTTTCATTGTATCATGTTGGGAAGTTGACCGGATTTTTGGGATCGGACTGTGTGTATTGGCTGAAAAAGTTGACAGACCAAGGAGTTTTGGGTTATGTTCGACCGAAATTGGTGCTGAAGGGCAGTACGTTGATTGTCAAGTTTATGTAAGTTGGATAATTTTACATTTCTTGGGCGGAGCCTGGAAAATTTTTTTAGGTAACAAATTGAGAATTTTAGCGAGAGCTAGAAAAACTATCGAATTCAGACTTACATTATGAAAAATAGGTATAATTGAAGCTTTGTAAAGAGTTTAGTACTACTGTTATTGTAGGTCAAACAACCGCGACCCTCAAGTACGAGCAACGATGCTGGGTGTAGCGTTGCTCCTAATGATAAGTGAGGTGTATCCTCAACTTAGGGCTATGTTATCAGAATCTCTGAAGCGCTTAGATCCATTGAGCTAATTTTTACAAATTATGATGTTTTAGCCATGTCTTTTACACAAAATGTTGCCTAATATCAATTTTGGTATCTAATTATTATTTTTGATACCTAATCATCAAGTTTTTATCTTTTATTTACTAATTTGGTAGAAATCCTAATATGGTAATGATTTGTTAAAACGCATTGTTTAGCTAATGATACTGTAAAGTGAAAGCAAACTCTACTCTAATACGCATACAATAATGCAGTAAACTGCAGTGGGACTTCTGTATAAAAAATGGCATGGGAATTTCAAAGCTGTTAGTTATGAAGATGTTTTGATGTAGGTGAGTTTTTTATACAGGAGTTCCACTGTATTACAAAGAAACTGTTGTGCTTAAAGTACTGTCATATCTTATATTACGCCTTATGAATTGCTGTAATTTTTTTGGATTTCAAATTTTGTAAAATACGCATCTATTATCGTCCTTATCCTAGATATCTAAATGTATATTTTCAATAAAATTGAAAAACAATCGTTAGAAAAAAATTTTGAAAAGGTCCGTTAAAACATAGGTATCGAAAAATAGATATGCTCTGAGTTAACCCAAGGGATGACAAATTATAAGGAAGTGTTTTTAACATTTATAAATGGCAGGCGAGATTTTTTTGACGTTTCGAACTTCTAGACATACTCTTTCGAACTATTTGGCCGTAAACAATTACATCATTCAACTGTCAGTTGATATGAAAAAAGTGAAAAAGGTCTCTTGGCATGGGAGGTTTAAAAACGATTTTTTATTCTTTTGCCAAAGGGTTTTGGGGGATTTTTAAGGAATACAGTGGAGCTTTTTGTATAATGAACATTTCTATAACGTAATTTCTGCATAACGAGCAACTTTTAAATTCTCGGCCGATACTACACAGTGCGTATATAAAACCTCTGTATAACGAAACGTTTGTTATAACATTAAAGTTAAAATCTCTGAGTGATTCGTTGTACTGTAAACAGGTAAAATACGATTTTTTTGCGTTTTTAAGTTAGTTTTACAATGTTAAACATGAGGATCGGGTCGGTCTTGACTAAAAACTAGATTGGGGCTTGAAAATCAAGGCCCGTCCCGTTTGCACGTAAAAAATTTTAGATTTTTTTATTAAAATTTAAAATTTTTTATTTTTTTTTCAGGCCTGGCCTATTCCTCATGTATTGCTAGGCTGATCTTTAGTAAGAGGGCATGAAGGGGTGGCTAGAGGTAGAGAAGAAAAATTTAAAAACTTTTTTATAAAGTTAAGCAAAAAAATATTTTGGCATATCATCTTTTGTTTTCCTTATCAAGAGTTATTAATCAAAACCGACCTTTAAAAATCAAAAACGTTTAGAAAAGATCAAGAATCATCGAACAATAAGTTTTTTTAGTCAATAATTCTGTAAATAATGTTGCAAAAACCGTATTTTTTATCTGTTTAATGCTTTGTAAATTGCTGTCCAGATGTTAAATTATTCGTTTCTATTATCTTTTTGAGTTTCTTAATCTGATTGAGGTATGAAAAGGCCCATTTCGAACTGTTTATTAGTTCGAAATGAGTCGGATGAGTAAGTGCTACACGTGATTTGAGTTACTGATTTCTTACTGTTTTCATTATAAAGAAATAGATTGACAAGTTTTGGGGTGTTACCTAAACTTTTATAAAAGGTGGCGTTCGGGTCAGCCCTGGTCTTTTTGTGGTAATAGTCAAAATGTTTCTTAGGCTTGACTTACTCTACTCCACTCTACCATAGTGAGGGATGTGGTTTGGTGGGAGGGGGGGGAGTTTGGGGTGACTTCCCTCCGCAGAAAAAAATCGTAGCGACGTCCCTGCTTATGGTACTTTACCCCACCCTCCCTCGTTCTACTCCATCTTAATACGCTCAACCTTACCCTACTCTATCCTACTTTACTCGACCATGTGTTACTTTTCTTACTCTACTTCACCGTAAATTATCTTGCATTTTCTCTCTACTTTACCTTATTTTGCTCTACCTTATCCTATCTTACTCTACGTTAAGTTATCTTCCTTTATTCTGTTATAACTTGGCTTATATTATATTTTCTATCTGATTCTTTTCCTCTTTCTCCTACCTTGTCAAGCTTTCATCCATCTCATATTTACCCTCCAAGCATATGAAGCTTACCCTACGAACTTATGATACTTGACCAAGAATTTGTTAATTTCTTGATCTTTTCATGTTTGTTCTCCGGCTTTTTCACGTTCAGAACGTTCTGTGATTACGTACGGAAAGAGCTTGTCTTGTGAGGATGGTTGGGTAACACATCTGTCTTCAACTTTCTTTTTCGAAAATGTTTTTTATTCCCGAGGACCATGGATAATATAATCTTTAGGTCGGAGTTTAGGGCGGTTGAAACGGAGTTTTGAACGTCTGTCAAGTTTTGAATTTTGAACTTGAGGTCTTGTTTTAAGGTTGATATTTTTGAGATGTTAGCTTATTGAAAAGAGCTTTAAAATTTTAGTTTTAAATACATAGTATTTTGTTATAGGCTTAAGGGGTTAACTTTTGCTATTTTTTGTAGTTTTGAAGTTTTTCTTTGCTATCTTTCTTATTTTACCTTATAAATCATCTGTTTTTCCTTTTCTGCATTTTTGACCTTTTAAACTGTTGTTTCAAACTTTAAACTATTCTTAAATATAACTCTGCTTTTTGCTAAATTTGTAAAAAGAAACAGATGGGTTTTGATAAGCAATCAGTTGTTTTTATGCGCGTATTTTAGTGATTGACTACTGCTCTACTGTTTGATAAACTTTTCTTTGTTTTCAGTTGTATTTTTTTGTTTGTTAGCCTAGAAAAGTATTGCTACAAACTTGGATTTGAAATTTTATTGTTAGGTTATTGGTAAAGTTATTGGACTTTTTGATTTTGAGCTGGTGTAGGACAAAAGATGGTCAACAGGACATTATTGGTAAGTTGACTTATTTTTTTAGAGTATGGTGGGAAAGAGGGGGAGGTAGGGTAGGTTAGCGTCGAGGTAGGGTAAGACTAATATTACTTGTCTACTAGAACTAAGATTAGAGTTAGATCTAGGGTCAAGTAAGGTAAGATAAGGTAGGGTATGATAGAGAAGGGTAGGGTAATGTAGGGTACGGTAAGACAAGGTAAGGTAAGGTAGACTAGGGTACGCTAGGATATGACAGAGTAAGCTAACATTTAGTTAAGAACAGTAGTTTTTTTAAACTTACATTACATTTCGAACACAATTTTTTACAGCAACTCTTTATCACCCTGCTTTTACTGACAGTAACTGTGTATTCCCAATGTGTGTCAATGGGTAACACCTGTCACGACTCGGGTTGTCGACTACATGGCGGGCATTGTAATGTGGTATGCGAATGTGTACAACGAGCAGAACCTTTGTACATGTTTGGTGGTTCTGAATTTTAATTCACCTTCATATACACGTTTATGTGGGGCCTCACATAAATGTAAACTTTATTGACTATGTATCAATTTACAACCGGTACAAAACAACTATCATTCTACACATATTGTTCAGTTTTATATTTTACAAATTTTAGATGTTTTTAGTGTTTTAGTGGTGTTTTATGTATATATTAATAAAGACAACGAGTACTTTTTTATAGGTATAGAATGAGGAAATTTGGAGTTTATGATTATGCTATGAAATTTAGCCTTCAAAATGAATTTTAGGTTAATAAATGGATTTTAGGCTTAAAAATGAATTTTAGGTTTAAAAATTGAACTTTAGGCATAAAAATGAAATTTTAGGCTTAATAATGAAACTTTGGCTTATAATAAAAGTTTAGGCTTTAAACTGAAATTTAAGACTTAAAAATGAAGTTTAGGCTTAAAAATCGAACTGTTGGTTTAAAGTGAAAGTGTAGGCTTAAACGTTGAACTTGAGGCTTAAAAATTGAAATTTAGGCTTAAAAATGAAGTTTAGGTTTAAAAATGAATTTTAGGCTTAAAAATTAAGTTTAGCCCAAAAAGTTGGATTTTAGGAATAAAAATTATATTTTAAAATGTCTTTTTACTGTAAAATCACTGCCTTCAAACCATTCCGCAAATCTTTTTAATTCTCAAACTTTAAGGCATTAATCTTACAATCAGCTGCGCTCCTTTCATCCTAATCACCAAAAACCGCCCGGTAATTAACCAAAATAGCAAATTACATGATATTAACTGAACCGAATCCGATTTCCCCATTAACTTTTCGCTACAATTTCATTTTCTCGAATCAGCTAGCCATTCGAATGGAGCGCCGATTTTGTTCGTTCAAGCTTACTCATTGACAATTCATTTTTGCTCTATTTTGATTAGGGGTGGTTTTGGAAAAGTGATGTTTTTGGCCATAAAACATTTTATTGTTTCTTATGTGTGGGGTAGGGTTGGGATAGGTCTAAAGCTAGGACTAATACTAGGTTAGGCTTGGGCTAAAATTATAGTTAGGGTGAGGTAGAGTAGGATAGAGCAGAGTAGCGTAGGGCTAGGGAAATAGAGATCAGGACAGAGCAGGGTTTGGTAAATTAGGATAGAGTATGGCAAGGCAAGGCATGAAAGAGCATTGCAGAGCAGATCAGAGCGGAAGCAGGACAGGGAAAGCAAGGATGGGCAATTCAGGGCAGGCCATAGCAGGGGCAAGGCACGGCGCTTCAAGGCATTCCAGCTCAGGGCAGAGAAAAAAGACAGGGCAAGGCAAGAGAGGGCAGAGTAGGCTAGTGTAGGGATAGGGTGATGGGCAGGGTACTGCAAAGTAGCGCAGGGCAGAACATGGCAAGACAAGTCAAGACAAGTTTGGGCATGACACGGCAGGATCGGCTAAAGCAAGGTAGAGTAGAATAAACGTAGAATAAATTAGGTAGGGCAGAGTAGAGCTACATTTTTTTAAAAAAAATTATAAAAAATTACATTTTTGATGCCATATCATTAAAGACGATGATTAAGGTTATATGTACCTATTTGCCTGTTTATTTACCGAATGCCTCGTTCATCACTCATATCGCTTTTTCGTCTCATAAACAAGAATAA